TACAGTAAAATAAACCATAAAAAATACATTACATTCAATTAATTTATTAAAATAAATTAATTTTGAAATCACAATACTGTAGTGAGTTAAAAAAAAATTGTAATTATGTGACGAAATATAAAGTATTTCCCAAATTATATTGTTATAATATTAATTTTTCAATGTATTAATGTGGGGTTTTTAGGATGGGCTTCCCACAAGGATGATAATATTTATGTCTATAGATGGTATCCAAAAGATAAAAAAAAAAACTCTGCTTTACAACAAGACTGACATGTCCAGAGACATAAACCTGGCTTTAATATTCCTCAAAAGAGCTGTTCATTTCTTAATGCGTAAAGCATTTTTATAAAAAATGAAGTATGTTTAGACTAACGTTAAATACCTAATACATTCCTGAAATGTGAAAACGTCAAAAAAGTGAATAAAGTGCAGGAAGTTATCAGAAAATTGGTGTATACTTAAGTTATTTATTTTCTTATTTTTTTTGCACCTGTAATTTTTACAGTAATTCTTATGAAAAGGATTAAATTATTTTTAAAATTAACAACATTCAACCAACTTTTAGCAAGCACATGTAGCCTTAATACACTAGAAAATGACGATTTTTAGCTAATCATATGGAATTTTGTGAAACAATTCAGAATTAATTATTGTATATTTAATGAGCACAATCATGTTCTCTACATTATTGCTGATCTAACTTACTCTATGCATAGACTGATGCGTTTTAGTACATCATCTGTGGCTAATACTAGCTAGCTATCGTCAAATATCATCAGATAAGTGTCTTATGAAGTGAATTGAGCTCTGACAACACCATCTACAGTTTAGTTGACTGTACTCGAACCAAAGCAAGAATATGTGATTATATATACGAGGATAAATAGCTAAGAATTGGACATACCTCTTGTTTTTCCCTGCCATGCTGGATAAGAAACGTGCCCAGGGACGCAAATACCCACAATGCACCGCTTTCAGGAGCTGGAGCTCAGCTCAGCTGAGTTGATCTTTAGTTTAACGTTGCGTTAAATGCAAAATAAAAATGAAACCTCAGTCTTCATTTCTGCTTGCTTGTGTTTTGTTTGTGTTATTTAATCTGTCACCTCTACATAATTTGTGGGGTTTATTTTTGCCCAAATGGAGAATGTTTCCAGGCACGATTTTAATAGTACTTTTTATTTATTTATTACATAAAAGAACCAAAAATCTGAAATCAACCGATACATTTCTCCAACCGCAGAGGCTGTTAGACAAAGCACAATTGCACAAACCCCTATTTGGGACAGTTATTAAAACAAAACAGGACCGTCAAATGTGTGGTGGGCGTGACATGTTCAACACAATATTATTTTATTTTTTGTAATGCAGATCAGGAGCTGAGAGACAGACGTCTGTTTTGAAGCGACATGTGCAGTAAGGGTAAAATCTTTCCGTGGCAGGGGCAGCTGCCACCGAGACCTGTCACTCCACCCGTCACCGCTAGTGGCAGCTGTCACTCGACCTGCCACCGCTATATGCGCCTGTCACCCAACCTGCCACCGCTATATTCGCCTGTCACCCGACCTGCCACCGCTATATTCGCCTGTCACTCGACCTGCCACCGCTATATTCGCCTGTCACCCGACCTGCCACCGCTATATTCGCCTGTCACTCGACCTGCCACCGCTATATTTGCCTGTCACCCGACCTGCCACCGCTATATTCGCCTGTCACTCGACCTGTCACCGCTATATTCGCCTGTCTCTCGACCTGTCATCGCTATATTCGCCTGTCACCCGACCTATCACAGCTATACGCGCCTATCCCGTGATCTGTCACGGCTATATGCGCCAGTCCCGCGACCTGTCCCTTCTATACGCGCCTGTCCCGAGTCTTGTCATGGCTATACGCGCCTGTCCCGCGATTTGTCCTGGCTATATTTGCCTGTCCCGCGACCTGTCACGGTTATATGCGTCAGTCCCGCGACCTGTCACGGCTATACGCGCCTGTCCCGACTCCCGCGACATGTCACGGTTATTTCCGCCAGTCCCGCGACCTTTCACGGCTATAGGCTACTATACGCGCATGTCCCGCGACCCGTCACGGCTTTATGCGCCTGTCTCTCGACCTGTCACTGCTGTATGTGTCCCGCGACCCGTCACGGCTATATAGCCTACGCGCCTCTTACTCATGGTTAAATAAATCTAGATATGGGCTAGTTAATATTCTATGCAGCCTATTCTACACAATATAGTAGTAGGCCTAATAATGATTATATTTAATATAGGCTATATGCTGTTTGAGAAATATTTCGAAAAAAAAGAAACTCCTTTTATTATTATAATTAACCTACTATTAATAATTAGCCTATTAATAATTTGCAAATTTCCCCACTGTAAAATAAAATAAAACAATCAGGCGAGCTATCATGATTTCTGGAGCGCGTCTCATAAATGAACTGAAACAAACGCCTATCTAAAGCTTGAAATATGCAAATGTCCACTTTAAACGAATTAAGCAGTCCGAAAGGTACATTTCTCTAAAGCGCAGAGAGATATGTTTAGCCCACACTATAAAACAGTTTATTTAAACAATAAAAATCCATCTTTATTTTTCAGACACATTAATTATGATTAGCCTATAAATCACCTATAAATCAGGGCTCAAATCATCTGTTAAATCATTTGCCTCGTCCCCCAAAATGTGCCGCATGATTCAACCATGCCTCCTGTTTAGATGCGGGATGCATTGCATTGTTTTTAAAATCCTTTTTTTAAAATGGATAATTTCTTGCATTTTCTAAAAAAAAACTAGGCCTACATTTAGGCTACTTTTATCTTTAAAGTCCATTTTTAGAGGAAAAATCTCAGTAGGCTATACTAAGCGAAAAAAATCAAATAAAATAAAATAATAATAGCACAGTTCAAAAACTGTAAAAGATTTGGTTATAAGTTATAAATAATTGTATGTTAAACATATTACTGTCTTCGGTGAACTCTAGTAATAAACGCAAATAATAATTAGCTATCAAAATCCATTTAGCTATAGGCCTAAGACGCTTTTATCCACACAAAAAAAGAACAGAGCAATTCGTCAAATGTCAGTCTAGACAATAATAATGGGCTAAGATTATAACAAACACAGGTTTTTGACGCATCCAAGTGTTTATGGAGCGCGCATGCATGTCACTGAGTCGCAGCCGCAAACACTAACATGTTCCTATCAACAGTGGAACAATTTAAAATAATCTAGCATTTCTGGTCATACAGAAAAAGTACATTAGCCTATAGGCTACATAATACATTATTTGTAACTACTTTTATTCGTGTAAACTCACAATAACAAGAAAACGGTGTATTTGTAAAATAACAAGAACACGGTGTGTATTTGTAAAAATAAAATAAAACAATCAGGCGCGTTTTTCTTTCATCTCCGGAGCGCGTCTCATAAATGAGCTGAAACAAAAGCATATCTAAAGCTTGAAATATCCACTTTTAAACGAACAAATTCGAATCGAAAGCAAATACAATCCGAAAGAGATATTTCTCTCTAAAGGTGCATCCTCTTCACAGCGGATATGGAGATGTTTAGCCCGTCACTAGAAAACTGTTTATTTAAACAATAAAAATCCCTCGTTATTTTTTTAGACACATTTATTATGATTAGCCTATAAATCACTTATAAATCATCTCTATGTATGGTTCCCGAGACATGCTCTTCTCATTTAGCACTGCGGGCAAAATATAGTTTTTTTTTTTCTAATTTGATTTTAGAAAGTAAATTTTTTTTTCCATATTAATTTGCGAATATTTTAAATGTTTAATAAAGGCAAAAAGTCAATTGTTATTTATATTTTGTGCACAAACACTTGGATATACGTCAAAATCTTGTGTTTGTTTGTGATAATCTCAGTATTATTATTGTCTAACCATACGGATTACAAACCCGTGAGTACGGATTGCGAAAGCGTGGGCACGGTTTATCAATTTGGGTACAGATTGCAAAAACTGAGGGCACGGTTTACAAATCTGAGAGCACGGATTAGGAACTCGTGGGTACGGTGTATTAATTCGTGGGCACGAATTGTTAAACCGAGGGAACAGTATAGAATTCGTGAGTAGGCTACACTTTATAAACTGAGGGGACGGATTGCAAAACCGTCACCTCGGATTGTTTTTTTTTTTTCCCCACAGGTGACTTCCCGGGCTCCGTAAATAATATTGCGTTCATATTTTGGACTCATCTTATTTTTTTATATAGGCTATGGTTTATTAATATGATTTGTACTGAGTTTGGTCTTTTAATATCACTGTCTTAGTGCACTGAGCCACGAAGCGTTTTTTCACGTTAAGCGTTAGAATGTCCTGAGGGACAGGCGCGTAGCCGTGACAGGTCGCGGGACAGGCGCGTATATAGCAGGGACAGTTCGCGGGACATGCGCGTATAGCCGTGACAGGACGCGGGATAGGCGCGTATAGCCGTGACAGTTCGCGGGACAAGCGCGTATAGCCGTGACAGGACGCGAGATAGGCGCGTATATAGCCGTGACAGATCGTCGGACAGGCGCGTATAGTCGTGACAGGACGCGGGGTAGGCGCGTATAGCCATGACAGATCGTGGGACAGGCGCGTATGGCCGTGGCAGGACGCGGGACAGGCGCGTATAGCCGTGACAGGTCGGGTGACAGGCGAATATACCGGTGACAGGTCGAGAGACAGGCGCGTATAGCCGTGACAGGTCGGGTGACAGGCGAATATAGCGGTGGCAGGTCGGGTGACAGGCGAATATAGCGGTGGCAGGTCGAGTGACAGGCGAATATAGCGGTGGCAGGTCGGGTGACAGGCGAATATAGCGGTGGCAGGTCGAGTGACAGGCGCATATAGCGGTGGCAGGTCGAGTGACAGGCGCATATAGCGGTGGCAGGTCGAGTGACAGCTGCCACTAGCGGTGACGGGTGGAGTGACAGGTCTCGGTGGCAGCTGTCCCTGCCACGGAAAGATTTTACCCCCTCTCGACATGTGATGTAGCATGTCAACTCACCACGCAGACGCACGGCTAAATAAATCACCACATGCATCCGACTTAATAATAACACACGGACAAAACTGGAGAGAGCGCTACACAAAAAGAAACGAGTCTTGTCAATCAGACACAGACGACAGGTGAGCTTAGATTCGATCTCATCCAGACAGCACCTCATCCGACAATGAAAGCAACATTTATTTACTTCTTACTTCATTTTTAGTTTATACAAAAAAGACAGGGTGTGCAAACGCATGCTCATCACCATCGCAGAGCTGCAGTGTTATGAAATAGCTTTATCGCATTGATGTGCTTTGTTCAGAGTCAGACAGTTGTCATTGGTCCAGGTTAAAGTGTGTGCATTGAGCATTTCTTTGTATCTGATGCTGTCGTTTAAAGTGTTTGTAATATGGTATGAGGGCTGAATGATGTTTATCGTCTTTTAGCTATCAGTGCTACTGCCTGTACTGTAAAATCCCATCTGAACAAAGGCAATATGAGATCGGCCACCAAGCGAAAATTGTTAAATAAGGCAAAGTATTATTCTTTTGTATGGTTTCATTTGTTGTTATGGTGTGTACATGGCACACGAAACAGAAAATTATTTCCCCAAACATCTACAATGAGCTTTTCTATTTTCTATTCTTGAACGAATCGTCCGTATGAGTCGGATCTTTTCACTGAATCGATATTCAATGAATGAATGATTTGAATCCAACTGTATCGTTTCACTGGGAATCCTCTCTTTCGGACATATTGGATTCGTAATAACCGATGATTGAGCTGATAATAACATTCGATATGGAAACACATGGAACACGTTGGAGTGTATTTCATGACGTCAAATAATTTCTGACATGTTTTGTAAACGAACTGTTCGAAGGAACCGATTCCGGATGAATGAGTCGGACTTTCCATCACTTGCGAACTGATGTTAAGGAGGTGTAATTTGAGAATTGGGGATGTAGCTTTTAAACAGTGTAGATGGAGCTTTATCAAATTGCTGCACGATAACTTGTTGTTGATGTTGTATGGATGTAAGCAGTTTCATCGGAGCCTCGATTAAGAACTAAACCAATATTGTAGAGCAAACATCCGGCGCGACCTTAACATGTGACGTCAGCGACCAGCACTCATGCGGCTTTCATTTACGTCAACAACACACAAGCTCCCAAACTGAGGCTTTATTCATTTTTCATAAGGACTGTGATGATGCTCAGCCGCTGCACTCTAGGATTCAATCTAAAACATTCTCCATAAAGCATACAAGCGAAACAAAAGGAAAAGGCGTCATCAGTTCAGGTAGTGCTGGTTATACTCAGTATTATTCTGCTGGATGACTTGAATGGGTCAGAGGAGGAGGGGTGAGACCGTGAGAGATGCTCTGTCTGGATGGGACACGGTGTGCTGAGTCAGATTTAATGAAACTGGGGGGTTTTGTAGGGATTGTCTTCAGCTGTAACTCTGAATCAGCCAGTCTAGTATGCAAGAGGAAAAATTTAATTTTTATAGGCTACTGATTAATCCGGTCCTCACATTCCTGCTAAATATTACAGCCTAAAAAGAAAGAAAAAAAATGGTTCCCAACACCACAAGAAGCTTTTAGAAACTTTTTATCAGTTTAATATATATATTATTTTTATTATTGATTTTATTTGAGCAAGTTACTATAATATATTGTATAATAGGCACCATTCATGACACGCAAGGACACCTTACAAGCATCAAAAAGCACATATCAACATAAAATCTAAAAAATAAAGGCCCTCAGTATGGCCTAAAAAAACACAACATACAGTAAGAAGGGTACTTAAATAATATACAATCACATTAAAGCCTGTCTAAAACGAACCCATGGAAGTCATGCGGATATGAGACAGAACAAGAGTGAGTGCAGAAGAAGATAAGAGTACGAGTAGGAGTGTATGTGAGAAGAAACCGGACAAATATGAAGGGGTGAAATTGTAAGCAGCAAAACCTTAAAGGCAATATTTAACCAGATACAACAAATACAAGGGAGATGTGTTCACTAATGAAGTTTGTGAAGACGTCATTGCCTGAAAAAGCAGTAATGCTTTCTCAATTTGTCTTGAGGCAGGCATCTACAGAAACTCTATCCTGAGTGCCTACCAAACTACAAATAACTAATCTATTCTGCATTTTTAAACAGTTAGTGACCTCAGGTTTCAGACCGCATGGTTTGCTTTGTATAACTAAAGGATTTATACATCTGAAACCCCATAGCCATTTTGTGGGCAGCCACACCACTGCTGGCTGTAATACTGAGCCTATGACTCTTTTCATGCTCTTTCACCTGTCGTCTGTTATTTGGAGTAACACGAGTAATGCTTTATAGTTGGAGCCGTATTGTAAACAACAAAACATCCCATTGCTTAAGGCTTTAGTTTATTTGATTTAAAACACGCCACACCTCAACATCTTATTGAAGAGGTGCCGTCAACTGGATTGCTATTTATCATCCTCCTTTAAATTGTCTCTCACTGCTCCATCCAATCTTCCCACTCAAAGTGAAGAGTATGACAGATACCAGCACATGTTACCGTGGGCACAGCACAGTGGTTTGATACTTTTGGAGAATTGAATGTGTGCAGCTGGCTAGCCAACTCGTCACGACGTGTCGGTTCAACCGTTCCATAACGTTCTTTTATCTAGAACACGGTTTCATTATTAAAATCAACCAGCCGGTTTATTTATGCAGCGAGTGTGAGTCTTTATGTGTGCGAGAGACTAAATTTAAATAGCTTTTGAGGCCTCAGGCCAGTGAGAAAAGGCCACTGAGTATTGAGGAGCTAACCATATGTAGCTATAAGCTATAAAATGAGAGGGAATTTGTAATGTGAAGTGATAATTTTCATGATATTTAAGGCTTGAGCGCATCGGTCTGGCTCGCTTCTCCCATTATGATTCTGTACTCATTGTTCAAAATGCCTTGAAGCAACCATTATGCTGTATGGAAACGAAATGTGAACCAAGAAGGCACAAACTGTAATGGATTTACTGTCTGGCAGATAACTAATAGATTGTTAGAGGTAATGTACAGATGTTAAATGTTAAACATGACATTAATTATTAATTAGCATTAGCTTGAATGAGAGTTCTTATAAAGACCCTCATGAAATATTTTTTTTATTTCTTGTCTTCACTTAGTTCCTATTTAGGAAATAAACTTCATTGTAGTCTATAGTCTATTTACCACAATTGTTTTATATTTGAAGAGTTCAGATGCAAAAGCCTTTAAGTGCTATTTGAAATTTTCTTCTATAATGATCATTTTTATCAAGCTTGTATATTTAAGTTCAGTGATTTCACTTAAATGGCAATTAAAAAAGTGAAATTACTGAACTTAAATATACAAGTTTGATAAAAATCATCATTAAAGAAGAAAATTTCAAATGGCATTTAGAGGCTTTTGCATCTGAACTCTTCATTTATCGATTTATTTTTATTTTTATTTGATTACAGTTGTGGTCAGAATTATTGTGGGTAATTCTTGTGGGTTTGCTGCCAAAAAGCTCTTTTTTTATTTCATCTGATCTGACCATAGAAGCCAGTCCCTTTTGAAGTTTTTGAAGGTTTTTTAGTCATTGTTATGGATGATTAAGACAATTTAGCCTTTGTGATTCCTCATATTTATACTCCTGTGAAACAAGAAAACATTGCTAGACGATTGCATGTTCCTAGTCATCCTGGTGTGCTAAAATATTAATGAGAATATACTTTAGTGATATTTTACTCAGAAAATGGGTGCCAATAATTGTTGCCAATGTGTTTTGAAGGAAAAACATTTATTTCATAATGTTATTTACCTTCTACTTTTAATTCTCATCCTTCATTGAAAGTTTAGATTTTTGCAAAAAAATTAATGAAAAATCAAAGGGATAGACAATGCAGATTTATTTTTTACACCCATCTTTGATCATATTTACCAGGGTGCCAATAATTCTGACAACAATTGTATGCCATTCACAATCCTTCATGAGATTCAAAGAAAGTTAAGTACATACTTCTACCTTTGTCAGATTTTTATTAAATTTTTTATATTTATGAGGGACAGTCTTGTTTTAGACAGCATTTGAAGAGTATATATCTGTTAAATGGTATTTTGACATGAACTGAAAAACAAAAAGCCCCATATGGTTCGTTTCTCTATTCCTGTAGTGTCCTAGAGTGAGGCCCAGGCTCCAGCAGGCCTTGGAGAGCACCGGTATGATGGAGGGGGGTATGCAGCTGCTGAACCGGGATGGCCACAGCATTTCGCACAACTCCAAACGCCACTACCACGACTCCTTCGTGTCCATGAACCGCATGCGGCAGCGCGGCCTGCTCTGCGACATTGTGCTTCATGTGGCCAACAAGGAGATCAAGGCACACAAGGTGGTGCTGGCCTCCTGCAGTCCATACTTCCATGCCATGTTTACAAGTAGGTCCTATTCTACATTGCTATTTTAGAAATGAAAATGGTTCTGGCCAATATGTCTTGGTATCAGATTTTTTTTTAAAAAATTTAGCACTCCATAATATAAAAAATACTGCTCTGTAAAGATATTTGAAGTAAACATATGACAATCCATAAGTTTTGGCAATCAGGTGCAATACCGCCACCTACTGTACTTTGGAATTTCAACCAGATACTGGCGCTGGATTATTTACATGCCATATTATTATACGTGTCCTATTCATTTGAAATAATACCGTTATCGCAAATATACCAGAATATTCTGACACCCCTTATTAAAAAGAACAATATTTAAATTTTTTAAATATCACAGTTATCGTCAATTGCTATATCGTGACACCTCTAGTCTAGTCTCAAAGAGAACTTCTGACTTTTCAAACTTTTTCAAAGACATTTTTGTCAGTTTTTTACTTTATTTCGAGAATTGATTAATCGAGTCGAAAAACGAGTAATCAAGTATTTGGGGGTGGGGCTTGTCCATCATGGTGATGGAAATATTTGAATTAAAACACAGTTACAAAAATAAATGTTGACAAATAAAAATATCACATGAGCATATTTCTATAAAAATTCAAATATGAAAATAACTGCTTGATTATCAATAATGCACAATGTTTTTGAAAAAAAGAAACATCATAAAGGAATAGCTGCATAGAGTGAAGGAGCACCAGTAAGCCTGTTTTAAATAACACATCCTACATGAGATTAATCAGAAATCCTAGATACACAACATAGCTGTAACATTACAACTTGTATCTGCACAAAAAGATGCAAATGCAAGTGAACTTGAACTAAGTTATGTGCTTGGCAGAAAGTGTTACTCCTGTTGTGGATACGCTCTTCCTCATAACAGCGTGCTAAAACATGGGCTACTAAAGCACAAAGAGTTCACAACAGTCTAGTGTTCTCATTATAATGTTATGGCGCTGCACAACATCCTCCTAACTGTATTTTCACCTGCTGCTGTCAAGTAATTCCAGACATCCCTGCATGTTTTCAAAGCTATGTCGAGAAACAATTTTAATTAGAACATACACCTACTGTTGAAAAAAATATGACTAGAAAAAATAACACTGCTGGATTATTTGACTGTTACAAATAACCCAATCATAGACAATAATGTTGGGCATTGCCATTTGAACTGTTGCCTCAACCAACTCAACTGAACTCAACCAACTCAACCAAACGCATCCTATATGAGATTAATCAGATATATAGGCTACTAATAAAATTAATATTACGACTTACATCTGCACGTGAACTTGACTTGTTTTTTTGTGAAATCAGGTGTACGCTATCATATAGATAGTTCCATAGCAAACACATGAACTAAAAAGTGAAAAAACAATTTTTACTTCACATACAGTAGTCTTAAAGGTGAACATGTATTGTGTATTGTGTAGTGTTTATTTCCTATGTACATTACCTCAGCTTCTGTTTCAAGCCTTTCCTTCCTTCCTACCTTCCTGCCTTTTGTCATCTCCTAATGTTTTTCCATGCTTTATTCTCTTCCCTGTCTTGGTCTCAGATCAGCAGGTGCCTGGTTTTTCCTATTGCTCAACAGTCCCGCTGCACCTCAGACTAGAGTGTGATGGTATGAGTCAGGACAATGTGGGCTCTTCAAAGCCATGACTATTCTGAACTTACCATACACTAGATCTACTAACAATGCACTGATTATACATATCGAAACTTGCTTAACTTACAACAGTGAGTTGTAAGTTAAGCAAGTGAGTGTGCTAACAGTGAGTGTGCTGCATTTCTCTTATAGGTAATTCTAATTTCTAACAAAATTATTTTTCATACTTAAGGTTTAAGCTAGTCCTGGACTAAAATGCATGTTTGAGCTGTTTAACTAAAAGCAACTTGCACTGAGATATCTTAAAATATGTCAGTGACATTGTTTAGTCTCAAGATGCCCACCAGTAATGTTTTTTTAAGGCACTTTTATAAAAGCTACTTAAATGTCCTAATTGAACGAAGCAAAGGCCTAATCTGTGAAACCAGGCCTATATATCTGCTAACAGTATGATGACGACAAATAATATCAGAATATAAACAAGTGGTTACGATTATATAGATGTAAAAACACAAAAGAAGATATTCTCTTTCCTTTCATAAAATGACATTATGCAAAAAGTAGCTACAATTGTCTACAAAGTTAGAAAATTTTATTTAAATGATCCAGCAGTTCATATTGTGTGTGGAATGTTTATTTAACTGTTCAGTGTTGTCATATGTATGATTATTATTAATGTTTTTTTATTATTATTATTAATGTATTATTATTATTATTATTAATATATTTTAAATTATATTTTGTATAAATACTATTATACTATATATTTTTATTTTGAGTTTGCTTTTATTTTTTATATTTTGAGTTTTTTGTTTGGTAATTTTCTTGGTTTTACAATTATTTTTATATTTATTTATTTCTTTAATTTATTTTTTATTTCAATTTTATTACTTTTTTTAAATTAGTTTTATTATTATTTAAATTAGTAGCCAGGGCAGCATTTTTAATAGTTTTACTTGAGAATAACAACACTAGTCTCAAGGGTCGTTCACTCATAAAGTGATTTCCGGTTTCATGAATGTCACTGAACATTGACAATGCAACTAAATCAAACAGAGTTTGGAAATTTTATGCAGATTTCATGCAAATATAGTACAGACCGTGAACCACTGTCTGATACAGGGAAATATAGCAGTCAAGTAGAAACGTCTGCTAGCATCCAACAGCACAGATACACTGTGAACTCAGTGTGAATGCAGATGATGATCCCATTTCTGATCAGATTGTCAAAAGCTATTGCCAAGAGAGCAGCACCAATAACATATTAATGGGAACATCCACTTCGCCAAACAGTGCAACCACCAAAAGCTCTCTGTATGTGTGAATGGGACATCAGTATCGTCAAACCCTTTGGAAACTGCCTAAATCTACCAGTGTTCTTTAAAAGCCTCTATTGCACAGCTGTGTGTGTTGTGACTGTGCAGATGAGATGTCAGAGAGCCGTCAGACCCACGTGACCCTGCATGACATTGACCCTCAGGCTCTGGAGCAGCTGGTGCAGTACGCCTACACTGCAGAAATCGTAGTCGGAGAAGGAAATGTGCAGGTACGTCGACTTTAGTGTCTTTTGAGGAGCATACTGTATTTTAATGCTCACAATCACCAGGATGTAAGGTGGTGTGTTCAGGTGGTGTGTGCAAACTTACAATTTGCATCTTTGCAAATGCAGGCCTTCTATTTGTGCTGTTTCAAAAGAACAAATGCATATGTGGCTGCTAATTTACAAGAATTCAGAATCTGCACAAAAAGGTCCATTGTCTCTGTAGGCTTACATAGAAGTCACTTTTAAACCAAGCAGCTTTCTCTTGGTTATTGTATCAAACTTGAACATGATTGAGGTCTGCTTGGGGGACATTTTTGGCCTAATGCGAAACTTCATCAAAATCCAGTAAATGTAACCGCACCTTGAGATGATTTTAAAGATTAATTTCTGAAAATGACTACTTCTTAATTCTCACTTCTACTGTTTTACTCGAGCAGACCTTGTTACCAGCAGCTAGTCTCCTGCAGCTCAACGGAGTGAGAGATGCCTGCTGTAAATTCCTTCTCAGCCAGCTGGACCCCTCAAACTGCCTGGGCATCCGTGGCTTTGCAGACACTCACTCCTGCAGCGACCTTCTCAAGTCAGCCCATAAGTACGTCCTGCAGCACTTCGTAGAGGTTTCGAAGACTGAGGAGTTTATGCTGCTACCTCTCAAACAGGTGAGGGATCTCCTTTGTAGTTAATGTAGAAGAATACTAGTTGTGACATCGTGTTCTAGAGGGCAGATACATTGCCCTCAGATGGCTGGAGCAAACTCCGGCGCAAAATGAACCTTTGGTCTAATAACACATTGGTACCTAGTCGACCGTCCTCTGAGATTTGTTTTCATGATAATCGAATGTAAAGAATTTTATCTCTAAAAACTGTTTAGCGTATATGCTAGTATATGGGGGCATATAATAAGTAAAGAGAAATCGCTAGTTAATAGCACTAACTACGCTCAAAATAGCCCCACACTTACACAGTAACATAATGAGGGTCCCTACATGCAAAACGAAGCATTGAGAACTTTGTGTACAGACAGTTTAATAAGAAGATATTTTATAAAGACAGTCCACGTCTTGACTAGTCGAACCACGTGCCAAGTGAGCTGAACTGTATGAAGTTCAGTGAACTTCTGAACTGTATGAATGGCGTTCGTGGTTCGACTAGTGTTTGATGATAAAACACACCTACATACTGAAGAGACTATTGAAGTGGTGTTTAGTGGGAATTTGCATACACTAAAGATCCTGAACCTCTCGTGCTGTCACAGTAGTTAAAGGATATAGGTCACCCAAATATTCTTCATCATTTTCAGCAGCATTATTGTAGTATTTTGTCATTAATAATAATTCATTTTATTTGTAGTAGTTTAGTGCTTTAGTTCTTAAACTTATTTATTTCAGTTAGTTGCCACAGCAACATTTCTCTCTACTTTCTTCTGTGAAACCTACATTCATTTTTTTAGGTAAACATAAATGTGAATGAGGACTGGGATTGTTAAGCACCAAAACGACACCATAAAAGTACATATGATAGCTTTGTGTGAGGAACAGATTGAATCGCTCAGGGTCATAAAAAATTCAAACTGTAAGAAACTCTGATGCAAGAGTGGTTTTAAGAATAGATGTAAAAAGAAGCGTGTAAAGTGTACCCGTTAAATGATGCATGGGGAGTGCTGGGGAGTTGAGCCATAACAATCCTTGAGGGGAAAATGGTTTTGGCCACGGATGTCTAATTATATATATTTGTCACCGACACCACTTCCTGTCACATTGGCCTTGAGCTTTTTAAAAACACAATCCCTTCACTTGATCCGGCCTCTCCTCCTCTCTGTCGTCTGGGAAGTCTTGATTCTTTTCACTTTGTCCGAGAAAAAATTAAATAACTGCTCCATTTCGACCTTCACTGCAGGAATTCTGGTCACATCCTGGCTTTTAATACGCCCCTCATACTACTCAAAGAAAACTCTCCCAAGGCCTGGAGATAGCTGTCTATTAGCATTTCCTTTAAAGGGGTCATGAACTGGCTTTTTAAATTTTATTATATTGTTGTCTGAGGTCAACTTATGAAGTTCACTTGGTTTTTGCATTCAAAAACATCAAAATGAATAAATATTAGGCTATTTTGTATCCTAGTTTTGAGCCTACCTGAAAAACACTGGGTTTTTATGGGCGTCTCGCACTGAAGACTTGGAAGTAAACGCCTACTGCTGTGAGTGGATAACAGTTTTGCATATTATAATGAGTTTTACTCACCCGTCGATGCACTTGGGGGAAATTGTTTTGAAAACGTCCAATGTTGTAAAATGGCAACCGGAATGATTCGCCCATACATGTTCGACCCAGAGTCCATGTGTTGCACAATTCCTGTCAGATCCAATATAGACGGCACAGCACCGTTCTTTAATCTTAATCGGTCTGCAAATCCAGTCTTGTTTACAAAACAATCGTCAGTGAAATGAAGCGAACAGACGGACAATGTTTTACCTCATCAGCTGGAGTGGAACGTCATTAAAAATAACGTTTATCCATGCAGTCCTATTGGAATCCAGAGGAAGTATATGCAGGCACTGTCTTCTTCCACAACCAGGCACTGCACAATATTTTGTATTGCTCGCTCGGTAGCTCGATCCGGTTTGTCATCACGAGGTAGGCATTGTCTTGAATCAATCAGCATATTAAATGATTTCTGTTGAAACATGACACAGAAGACAGGAGTAATGGCTGCTGAAAATTCTACTTTGCCATCACTAGAATGCATAGCATTTTAAAATATACTAAAATAGAAAACTTGTTTTAAATTGTAATAATATTTCGTATTATTACTGTTTTTACTGTATTTTGTCAGATAAATTCATTTGCAAGCATACAAGACTTCTTTCAAAGTAAATTAAATTTAAAACATTTGAATGACAGTGTAGTGTACTTAATATATTTTATACATTATTATATAACAATAATAATGTGTGTGTCTATCTATCTATCTATATATATATATATATATATATATATATATATAAGATCACCAAAAGTTTAATTGCAATTTTGTATTTTATATATTTGTTGGGAAAATGTACTCCGTCAGAAATACACAGGAACGTTTAAATGGCTGTGAACTGAGAGAGCTGTTTGTTCTGTCTGGCCCTAGATAATATAGTTAAAGCTAACTGGACCATACCAATCAGCCAAACTTTGAACTCTTCTTCGACTCACCAAAGCGAAAATGTCAGCATGCATTACACTGCAGTGACACTGATATAAGTGCTCTCTGCATCAGCACTTCAATACACTGTCAATCATCCTGCTCGAATATGTGGTGTGACAACTGCACGTCAATGAGAAGCTGAGACAGCTAATCAGCAGAAAGCAGCCCCTGCTCTCATACAACACTAATTTCATCGGCTCTAATCCGCTCTCTTCGTTGAAGAGCATTCTTTTGAATAATCGGAGTGCTGCTTGTATTAGTGTCCCTGTGTTTTGAAAAGTTACATGATTCCATGAAATCCCCCTGCTGTTCACACACTGATTACAGAGGACCATTAGGGCTTGCTAATGACATAGACTGCTGTTCCCTTTCTGTCTGTGATTCTCTCTCTCTCTCAACAGCTGTTGCAGGCTAGAGGCTTCCACTGGTCCCATGTTTAACCCACAAGACCTAGGAAATGCTTGTAGTCATGTTAACTGTGCCCTTTGCCCCAAATGAACAAACAGTCTGTGACAGGAATTCTGCAAAGGCTGTTGTAGTGCTTCTGAGTATGTAGATTAGATGATGGTGATATTACATTTGTCCCGAGCAGCTGTAATGCTGGTCATTTGGTTTGTAATCCTTAAAACCTCTGTCCATGCCCGTGAGCTGGTCTCGGGCATTGGCGGAAGTCTCTTAAATCCATATTCCAAAAATAATAATAATTATAAAGTAACTTTTGCAATTTCTTCATCACTAACAGCAGAAAAATAATGGTATGGTTTCCCAAACACTTATCACTTATCACTTCTTCCACCCCTACCTCCCCTTCTGCTATTGTTCAATCTGAAACTCACTCAGCACTATTGGTTGACCCAGAAATTGACATGTTAACATGAAGTTGGCAAACAAAGCAATGTTTTGAAAGTAAGTCAATTATAACTATGGTTTTTATTTATTTTATTTTTTTTGCAGATTTGAAAAAAAAAAAAAACAACAACTGCAGAAATGGATTTAAGGGAAGATGTGTTAAATGGATTAGTATACTATTTTGGGTCACCAAAAAAATTGCCAAAAGACAACTAATAATGTGAAGAACATAATTGGAATGTATATTATTATCAAGTAAAATTCAATTATATTATTAAATCAATTTTTTATTGTCATATTACCAGTCAGTAAGATTTCTTTTAAAGAAAATAAAACTTTTATTCAGCAAGGATTCATCAAAGAATTAAAAAAAAGAAAAATTCCTTGGTTTCCACAAAAATATTAAATGTCAAAATTGTTTTCTACATTAATAATTTAGGAAATGTTAAATGGTGAGCTCCAAATCAGCATATTAGAATGATTTTTGAAGGATCATGTAACACCGAAAACAGAAGTAACATATAACACAATAATATTTAATGTCACAAATATTGTTTTGACTGTATTTTTGATCAAATAAATACAGCTTTGGTGAGCATTAGAAACTTCTTTTAAAATCATTTGAAGAAATCTTACCGACCCCCAATTGTAATTATACAGTAATTAGACTGTTGATTAACGTAATATTGACTTTCAAACAAACTTTACATTATTATAAAGTGTCATACTGAGCACATCTGACCATCTGTGTCAGTCTCTCAACAAGTGCGCTTCATTCACACTAAAACACAAATTTGTCTTCCAAAATGTTAAAGATTAAGTCTGACTGGAACCATAATCCTTTAGTTTTAAGATCAGGTATGAACCCTTTCTTGTGATTTCTGCAGGTACTGGATCTGATCTCCAGTGATAACCTGAATGTCCCATCAGAGGAGGAGGTGTACAGGGCTGTGCTGAGCTGGGTCAAGCATGACATTGATGGGCGGAGGCAACATGTGCCCCGGGTGGGTGTGGTTCCTCCCGTCAAACTGCGTTTTTAGCAACATCACAGGATTAATGCTTAATAAAGGATTAAGTCTCTGCAGCTCGATACTTGTTTCTCTATTCCCTTCCTTTGTATTCTCTGATCCTTTTTACACACACACGTCTTACCTCTCACTCTCCGTCCATTTCTCTGTTTAGCTGATGAAGTGTGTGCGTCTGCCCTTGCTGACACGAGACTTCCTGATGAGTAATGTGGATACAGAGCTGCTGGTGCGTCACCACTCCGAGTGCAAAGACCTGCTGATCGAGGCGCTGAAGTATCACCTGATGCCCGAGCAGAGGGGCGTCCTCAGTAACAGCCGTACCCGACCGCGTCGGTGCGAGGGAGCCAGTCCGGTCCTCTTCGCCGTAGGTCTGTAAACGAGCAAGCAAAAACACACATGCACAAATGTCTGTATGTTGTTGGATTGATTAAAATGCGTGTCTTTCAGGTGGGGGCAGTCTTTTTGCTATTCATGGAGACTGTGAGGCCTATGACACCAGGACCGACCGCTGGCACATGGTTGCGTCTATGTCAACACGGCGGGCACGAGTCGGAGTGGCTGCTATCGGAAACAAGCTCTATGCTGTGGGCGGGTACGCAGATCCCGCAGAAGCCTTATCTTTTTCAGAGAATCAACTGCTTTTTCCATTAATAACGCCAATCTTAAGTAATCCCTTGTTTTGTGCACATATCGAAAATTCTGAGTTTTGTGGCATCAGTGTGAGCTGCTTTAGAATAAACATTTTATTTTAATTTTAAACCCCTGGAATAATTGGAAATCTAGGGAAGCCCATTGACATTTTATCTCAATTTTGAATTTTATGTCATCATTTTTATGCTATATAATTATATCTTAATATCTTGTTTTTTTTTACTAGCCAATAAACTCAAAAACATCCTGACAGGTTTGAAAGTTGAACAGTCTTAAATGGATTCAATGGAGCATATTAAAAATACGGCGCCCATGATACGAGATGCTGAAAAAACAGCAAGTGTGACTTCAACCAACATAGTTAAATCAAATCAGTGCTATTTTTCATAATTTTCATATTACATTACAAAGGGAACAGAATGTGCAGAAAGCTATGTTATTTCCTTCATATTTCCCTGCTGAGGCAATCAAGAAGTTACTTAAGGTTAGTTAGGAAATGTGTCAGGTGTTGACTAATGAAATTCTATGAATGATTACGGTCTTGTCTTTACTTGCTTGATAAAGATGCAATTTATTCAAAGATGCATGAAAGATCTATTGTTCCTCTCTGTCTTTTCCCAAAACAGGTATGATGGCACCTCTGATTTGGCTACTGTAGAGTCGTATGACCCAGTAACAAATGTGTGGCAACCTGAAGTGTCTATGGGAACAAGGAGGAGCTGTTTAGGTGTGGCGGTCCTGCATGGGTTGTTGTATGCAGCGGGAGGATATGATGGTGCTTCCTGTCTTAACAGGTATGCTATCCACCTTATTCTACTCTAAACAATGCACGCTGACATGACGACGACTCCAGTTGCCAATTTCTGGTTCGAAGCTGGTCTAAACGTTTTTTGCTATGTGTTTCAGATTGTGTCATCCCCACATTGCTAAACTAAATCGAAAAAAAAAAAATTCATCAAATGTGATCTAATCACGTTATTTTTATTAAATCACTGATAAAAACAAAATGAACTTTTTTCTTTTCTTTATAACTTCCAAAGGATAGCTGATGCATGACAGCACGATCTGTCTAATCCAGCAATGCATGAACATCGGACAGTTTCTATCACCCCCGACTGATGCAGAATAACCCAAGAAATAAGCTTAGGCTGGTTAGCCTTTTGATTCCTGTCTACCTCTGCTTTCAAAGATGCATAGTCTATATGAAGAGTTCAGATGCAAAAGCCTCTAAATGCCATTTGAAATTTTCTTCTTTAATGATGATTTTTATCAAACTTGTATATTTAAGTTCAGTAATTTCACTTAAATAACAATTAATAGGTAATTATCATTGCCATTTAAGTGAAATCACTGAACTTAAATATACAAGCTTGATAAAAATCATCGTTAAAGAAGAAAATTTCAAATGGCATTTAGAGGCTTTTGCATCTGAACTCTTCATATATTCCTCAGGCGTGTGAGGCAAGTAGGCTACATTATATGCCGAGTTTCGGTTCATTTTTGAGACCAGAGTCCAGTTTGTGCGCCGGCGCCTCCCATTATGATGATCTATTTTCTACTATATTTACTTCTTATTTATTAAAACCAGGCAATTGGTTGATGAAACATTGATTGAAATTAAGATACAATTAATAAAAAAAACAAAATTCCCTTTAAAAAAAGGCTTTGTGTTTTGTGTTTAAGATCTTTGTGAAAGTTTTAAAGTCGCTTTCAGATCCGTCATGTCCGTAATGGAGAACTGTCACGTCCGTAACATTGTTTTATTTTTCGTCTTCGCATTTATGAGGAAAAAAAAATTATTATATTTTATTTATAAAATAATTATAAATATTTATTTATTTATGTATATATTTATGTATATATTTATTATATTTTATTTATTATTATTTAATAAATATCATATTTATTATATATGTTCTGTGGAGGCCGACCCTTCTTCATCCGGTTACTTGGCTATTACTTTTGTTTTGCAGAGTGTAATTCATAGAATTACTAAAAAATATTTTGCCATCTAAAAGTTAAAGTTTTGTTGTGTTAAGTGTATTTTGCTTATGTAGACTGATATTTTTCTAATGTCTGGACTAGAGTGCTAGAATTCTATGTAAACAAATACTTTAACCGGAAGTAGAAAACCGGTTAGTCATTTGAACCCGCTATGAATCATGGGAAATAGAACGGGCGCAGAAAAAGGTGGATTCAGTCAAATAATTGTGAAAAGCCTAAAAATAATGATAATGAAGAAACGTATACTGTTAATCTAAGATCAGTAAAAGCTCTATGTGAAATTATCTATAAAATTTAAAAAGTAATATTACAAACAATATGCAAGGAAAATATATCTTCTATATTACATAATTGTCAAATATTATGACATTTCTCTCTCTCTCTTTGATTTTGTCTTTAGTGCGGAGAGGTATGACCCTTTGACCAGTACCTGGACCTCCATTGCTGCCATGAGCACCAGAAGGAGATATGTTAGAGTGGCCACATTAGGTAAAAAAGCTCACCAGCCACTGTGGCCAGTGGTTTTCCAAAGTTACTAGCCAATCAGTATTTTCATTGGCCACAATTTTGCCATTGATACCATGGGGAAAATCTGCCATATAGATATTTTTAATATTATCTCATAATTTGACAGCAGGTATATTAGGCTCCTGTCACTTTTAAGACCTGACGCACGGATCATACTGTTACACATACGTTTTCTTTCTCAACTGTTTATGTTCATAGCTGACTGTGCTTGCAAGAATGCTTGTCAAGATCAGCATTTTGACATTATCTTATGTGTATTTGACTGTTTAAGGGCAGTAAGCACCAAAAACAAACTCAGTTTAATGAGATGGTTTTATGCGTGTACTTTGGGAATGAGTAAAATGATGCGCAATCCCACACCGAAATTCAAGCTCTGTAACACCAACCATATTCATCCGAAGCAAATGAAACGAGTGAGTGAGGGGAGGCGGATTTGTATGTCAACTCACTGTCAGAGAGATGAGAGCGTGAGAAAGCGCAGATGTTACAGTATATTCTGTGGAAAATTAGCATATGAAGTGTTTCAGATATTTCAGTATCTATGCGTATCGAAAAATCTATATTTTTGATAACACTACATTGCTCTTATTTTATTATTTCAGATGCCCTTTTTTAAAAGTCTACAATTGAAAAATGTATATATTTATATAAAATTCAACCTGCCAAAGTGGCTAGTGGGAGTGACAGTAGAGCTGTAATATTTACCTATCTCTTTGCCTCTTGAAATGGTTAATTTCCTCTGTGTTTGCTCTAAATTCTTCTGTTAGATGGCAGTTTGTACGCTGTCGGTGGGTACGACAGTTCCTCACACTTAGCAACAGTTGAAAAATACGACCCTCAGGTATGTGACGCATTTCTCTCTGATATGTTGAAAATGTCTCCAGTTGTTTTCTCTCCATGGATAAATAAATGACTAAAGATGGTATTATATTTTTCAGAGTAATGTCTGGACTGCCATTGCCAACATGCTGAGCAGGAGGAGCAGTGCAGGGGTGGCTGTACTGGAGGGCATGCTTTATGTTGCAGGGGGCAATGACGGTACCAGCTGCCTAAATTCAGTGGAACGGTACAATCCAAAAACCAACACCTGGGAGGGAGTGGCCCCTATGAACATTCGCAGGTTTGAAAGTGGCATTCGACTGGCATCGTTTACTCACAATCATGTTATCCAAGCCTCTCTCCTTTAAAATTTTTTTGTTTGTTTGTTTTTGCAATGAAAGTCATTGGGGTCCATTGGGCTTTTTTTGGACCCCATTGACTTTCATTAGCTACTGTATGTTTCCATCCAAAATTGTGAATTTAACATGCACAAAATTGGAATAAAATATTGCATAAAACACTTGTAAATAAAGCACTGTTTCGTGTGTTCAAGAGAGCAAAATCGTAAATCATAAATGCGTGGTGTTTGGAAACACAATCATGTGAGATGCTTCTGGGAGGGAATTAAACCAAATCATCCTGATGACAGGCTTTGGCTCAGGCATTTCAGATGATCAATCCAACATTTGAGATGCTGTGCAATGAAATAGGTCTGCTGATTAGTCCAGTTGTCCAATCACATCCACAGGCAAAGTTACGTGAGGTCACATAGCTATTGTATTAACAAAACAGCTGAAACATTATTCAAAATGCTTCGTTTTTTTTTTTTCAGTCCAAACCTGTAAGTTCCTAATGGACATTTTCTTGTTCTTCAGGAGCACCCATGACCTGGTCGCCATGGATGGCTGGTTATACGCGGTTGGAGGCAATGATGGCAGCTCTAGTCTCAACTCTATAGAAAAATACAACCCTCGTAGCAACAAGTGGGTGGCGGCGTCATGCATGTTCACGCGCCGTAGCAGCGTTGGAGTCGCTGTCCTGGAGCTCCTCAACTTTCCTCCCCCGTCATCTCCCACTCTTTCCGTCTCCTCCACAAGTCTTTGACAAAGGGTAAAAACCCGGCTTAGCTCCAGCGGCCTGCCCTGCGTGGCAAAGAGGCGCAACTGCTCGGTTTGAGCACCGGACGAGGAGCGTTTCGTGGGCAACAGCGGCCTCCCTCTGCCTGGAGGAATACTGCAGCATTCCAACAGATCACAAGGGTAAAAAAGGATGAAAAGAAAAATCCCACACTCTCACAACTCTCACCCTATAAACCCCAGTGCTTGAAAGTGCAAAATAATGTCGCTCGGCCATTTTGCGGTCACTTTGTGTATGATGTATATCTAAATGTATATTTAATTTATGTTTACGATTCTTTTTTGAAATATTAAGAAATAATATATTAAACCGAGAAAAAAAAAGTATGAACAACTTTAGGAATGTAGCTCTTGACAGGTTCTGCCACGCATGTTTACAGAAATTTCGTCTTGGCAGAACACAATAATGTAGTGCTGCTGTGCCACACTAGGTGGTAGTAATGTGCAATGCTGCCCTGTCTCACCACAGAAGCGCATGGACATTTACAAGCAGGAAATTCTCACAAAGCGGGGGCTGGACTCTACACTACATACAGCTGAGTCTGCTCAGATCATGTTGATAACATAATATACGTTTTATGTATTTTCCCATTTATTTATCAAATGTAATATAAACATATGACACTATTTCAGAGATGTTTGAAGGACCACCTATGACTTAGGAGGGGAGATATAGTTTTATCGTACTTATTGCATATCAGAGAAGCGCTGGTGTTTGGTATGAAATGTGAGTGTTATGGAGAAAAGTTATTTTGTGTTTTATCCAGCAGACATGTTCGGTTTGATTTCTAGAGTCATGCATTACAAGCTCTACAAACTCTTCTAATATGACACGTTTATATCACAAACCAGGAGAAATGTCTTTCTGATAAAGACTATAGCCATACCTAAAATCTAGCTGTGACATTAAAGCTGCACTTTCTCGTGTTTTTCGAAAGGGTGATCGGTGCTCAGAACTAATTCTGATTAACTAACGGGTAATCGGTAATACTGACACTTCAATATCAAGCCCTTCAATGTGAGTAACTCGGCTATTATAAGCTCTATATGTTGTATGTCACGTTTCTTAATATTTTTGTCATAAGTCTTTAGTTGATAACATTGAACCATGTCATTGTATACTGCATTTTCTACATTTTGCTTAGGGTTGTCCGCTTCGGCAGCTCGATCGGATCTAGACAGTATGTGTGTGTTGTGCTGTGATGTCATTGGTAACAGCCACTACCAATGCATCTTACCTCAGATTGGCAGATGAGTGAACAGTGGGTTTTGTGATTAGTTGAACTGATGAGAGCACAGATCACCCCAGATGTATTCACCAAAATGTTGTTCCAAACCTGTATGACGTTGGTTGCTACGTATAACACACAAAAAGGAGATATTTAGTAGAATGTCTAAGCTGTTTTTTGTCTGTACAATAAAAGTAAATGTGGAAAGGGACAGTCGTATGGAAAAAGAGCAGCTTGGACATTCTGCTAAATATTTTCTTTTATGTTCCACAGAAGAAAGAAACGCAAACAGTTTGGAACGACATGAGGGTGAGTAAATATTAACATTTTTGTGTGAACTATCCTTTAAGTAAATTCTGCTCTCTCTAAAATGTAGTGTAGTATTATATGATTTCAAAACTTCTGAGAAGTTACGATTTTATTTCCTTTTTTAAGGACTTTAATTCTGAGAAACATGTTTAAGGTCAGTATATATTTGTGTCCAGGGAGATTAGAGTGCTGTGTGTGTGTTCATCCTTCACTTTGACAATACACCACAGGACCACGAGCCCACAGAAAGGAATTACAGTATGTATATAACCAAATATCCTGAAACTTTGTGCAATGTCAACGTAACTGGCTGTCTTTTCTTTTGTCTTTTTTTATTGTAATGTTGTTGAATGTGTTATATTGTGCCGGTTATGTTTTGCTATATTTAAGAACAAACATGAATTTTTTGCACTAATGTAAAATGGAGCAATATACTGCTGTATAAAATAAAAAAACACTACTGTAAATGATATAAAGCTGTTTTCAGGTGGAACGAGAGTTTAATCTCATTTGAACAAATAGACTGACACTTTATGTTTAATCAGCTTTTCAAAACCTGATGTAAAATGTGTCTTTTACTCACAACCTGTTTCAAACCTGTATGACTTGCTTTCTTCTCCGGAACCTTGTGCCCATTGACTTCCACTGTATGGACAATAAAATAAAGAAACTCTCAAAGACCATCTTTCATGTTCCACAGATGAAAAAAGTCATACAGTTTGGAACGTCATGATAAACCTTTACTGGGTTTATAATTTAGCATTTGTGCAAAATACTTCAAGTATAATGGCACAAGAGAGTTAAAAAGAGTCTTTCTTCAGAAGAACATAGACGGATTCATGGTAGAATGAATAAGCCGCTGTACAGTGAAAGTGAATGGTGACCAAAGCTGTCAAGCGAGATTTTATCTGAAACCTCTTCAGAAAACAGTGCATTTAAGTTGTATGGACTAGTTTAATTATGCTTTATGTTGCTTATTACCTTGACTGCCTCTGGTTATCATCCACTTACACTGTATAGAAAAAAGCAGATTGGACACTTTACTCATTTTATCCTCTTTTGAGCTTCAACATCATGTTTAGAACGACGTGTGGGTGAGTACATAAACACAGAATTGAATTTTTAGTCGATCTATCCCTTAAATAAATCAAATGATTCTTTGGATTAATGGAGCGACCTTCAAAGCTCAGCCCATTAGAAGGATCATCATTAGATGTGTTGCTCTCTGACTGATGTAAGCAGACAGCTGAGCACTCTCGCTTTACCCACCATGACCTCAGCTTCACGACACGAACACCTGTGCTGTGCGCTTACGCACACGTACAGACACATTTGGGCAGTACATCTGATACGAGTATGTTAGCGTTTGCTTTAAGGAGAAGACTCATTTCGGCACTATGCAGTATTGTCCTCTGTTATTTTAGCATCGGTGTGTTCGCGTAATAGCCGTCTGTCGTTAGGCAGCTCTTTTAATGAGGGGAGGGGGCTGGGGGGCTCTGTCACATTCCACTGCGCATGTCTCCAGCCCTGTGGCGTACTGATATGAGGGCCTCTGATGAGTTTACGGTCTGGAAAGGCAGCTGCAGGCGTAACTGTACAGCAGAGAGGAGACACTCACACCCGGCCCGTCTCTGTCCAGAATGGATACCCTGTGGCCATAAACAAACCTCACCTTTATTCACCTGAGCTGTCTACATAAATACAAGCTCATAAATATGCTTTTGCAGTTTTGGATTGTATTAGCTAGATAGAAAGACTGTTTACTTAGTTTGGGGTCAGTTTGGGTGTTCTCAGGGGGTTGAAGAAATTGATTACACTTTACAATACGGGTGCACTAATATGCATTAATTCATGCTTAACTAATGCACAGATAATCGTGAGTTAATATGTAACTCATGAAGAACTAAACCACTAATTAATGATTACTGCATCAGGAACTAATAAAGAGTCTATATGATTAATAGATTAAGTAATACATAAATTGCTATTAATTCAGTGTGTCATTGTGTATTAATTCATTAATAACATAACAACTAATAGTGTAAATGGGTTAATTACCACAATTAGTCAAAGCTATGCACTTCAACTTCCAGTTGTCTGCTTTAATAATGATTTGCAAAGGTATCATTATGAAATGACTTTACTTGTTGGGGCACATCATTATTAACTAGTCATTTAGTAATTGTAGTAATTGGCACTAACAATGAAGTAATTAATCATGTAATAATGCATATTAGTCTACCTGTCATTTTATCTGGAAGTTGAAATACAAGGCCTTGGCCCATTCTGGTAATTAACATGTTATTTAACAATATTAGTTAAAAAAAATAGTTATTAAGAAATTAATCCACAATTAAATATTTAATTAATAACAATTCACGTATGAACTAAAACATCAACCTTACAGACTCTTAATTAGTTCCTAATGTTGTAATCATTAATGAATAGCTTAGATAATCATTAGTTACACATTAATTCAGTATTATCTGTGCATTAGTTAAGCATGAATTAATGCTTATTAGTGCACCCGTATTGTAAAGTGCTACCAAGAAATTAATACTGTTATTTAGCAAGGATGCATTACATGGTTCAAAAGTAACAGTACAGACATGTATGATGTTACAAAGGATTTCTATTTTTAAATAAATGCTTCTTTTTTTAAATGGCATACTTAAAAGAATCCTAAAAAAAATGTATCATGGTTTTCTCGAAAATATTAAGCAGCACTTAATGGAATGCTTTTGTTGAAACTGATTTTTAAAAAAAAATCTTTTGATGAATATAAAGTTTAAAAGAACATTAATGTTTTTTTTACTATCACTTTTGAACAATTTAATACATAAAAGTGTTGAAAAACTGACATACCCCAAACTTTTGAATGGTAGTGTCCTAAATTGTCTTCTCTAGAATTCTAATACATCGAATAAGATAGAAATCGGAAGTTTGCACAATCGTTTAGAGGTGGATTATTCCGCATCTGCTTGTGTTCCTGGGAACAAGAAATGATTTGGTTTCTTGCTGTTCTACTTTGTCCATCACCAAAAACATCATTTGACATTTACACCATCCTTATCTTCATCTCTGGAATTTTTTTTCCCAACTCGTTCAACGGAAATGGCTGAAGAAGGCATTCTACAAAACAAAAATGTCACCTGTTTGATGTAACCCTTCAAAGCCGTGTTTATTCCACCTCTTACACCATGTTTTTTTTGTTCTGTGAGAGCTCTGACACCCGTGGTTCTCTCTTGCACACGTGGTCCATTGAAAACATCCAGAGGTGTGAAGTTAGCACCCCTAACGCACCCGGCGAGTCTGAAAAAACATTGCAGAGGGACTTCCCAGACAGGGCCGTGGCGATAGCCTTGCTCAATCCACAGCTCTGATACGTGTGTGAAATTCTGAGTGACTCTGAAAGAACATTGGGAACTAAAATCTGATTTGTCTTATAATGCTTGGGATCTTTTTAACTTGCCATGTACACTTCTTTTACATCTTTATTTTAAATAGCGGTCTACTTGAATTTATGTTATAGATATTGTCATAGTACATTAGGTGTCCAAGGCACTGGTCAAAATGACTATTAGGGATATGAATCATGAGTGAATGGTAACTGAGAAATACTAATTTTTCCTCCATTTGTTTATTGGAATAGTCCATTCACAGGTTAAGAATTTAGCCACATTGGATCCAAACCAAACAATCTTTTTCACATGTGGAAGCCAGTCATTGTTTTGAGTAAGAAGAGCTGCTCACATAAAATTGTGTGGGCAGTCAGATACACTGTTGTGTTTGGCTTTATTTTCCACTTCCTTCCGTATCCTTTCCTTCTCCTTTGTGACAACATAGAACCATTTCTATGGCCTAATATACACATTTTATTACAACAGAATACCGGTACTGTTGTTGTTGTTATTAGACAAGAATTATTCTACAACATCAATGAATTTCAATGACTATTTAAACTTATAATACCAGAAAAAAATAACCCTTGATAAATCTTGTGTGTACCGGGGTTTATTTAGTCATAAATATGGTGCCAGTAAAGATTTTATTTTAATGTTTTTGAAAGAAGTCATTTATATAATCAGAAATGCAGTAAAACATTAATATTGGACATTTAAATTTTAAAAGAACTATACTGTAAAAAGAAGTTGCTGCCTTAAATTTTAAGGACAATCATCTTGGATGTTTGTCAGTTGAAATTACATTAAACTTATTTTGAAGAGTTAAAACAATGTAAAAACCACATATATATACAGTATGTGTATGTATCTGTATCACAATCCTTCAGAAATCATTTAATGATGATTTGCCATTTAAAGGAGCAATGTGTGATTTTTAGCGACATCTAGTGGTTCGGTTGCGAGTTTGCACCAGGTTTGCACTAAGGGCTCCGCCCACTGCTCACCCCTCCCTTTCGAAGAAGCTACGGTTGCTAAAACGGGACAAACATCTCGTCGGCTGAGACAGCAGAGAATAGCCAGAGTAAGCCAAGAGTGTGTAACATTGTCACTGTTTCTGTACCACAGTCCATTATAAACCACATCATTGATACTGTTTACAAAGCCATAGTCAGGTGAGGATCAAGGGTTTTAATATATAATTTAATATAATAATATTAATCAGCTGATTGTCTCACAAACGTAACCAGCAGCACATTTCTCCACACATACTGTAGCAAACCCATAATACAGCGAGGGAGCAGCTATATATTTTTTCTAACAGGGTAGTAATAGTTTAGCTGGCTAATATGAGCTGTTACTGTGGCTGAGCTGGGACGCGTCTGCATGAGTCCAAAGGTCGGAAGTGCGCGCGCTGTTACAATCATGTCATCTCCGCATCCCATAGATACTATTTACTACACACAATAGGCTTTTTTCTCTGATTTTGAAAACTCTTCGCGATCGACTTTAGTGATAAAAGACTTTAGTAAAAGTCTCTATCGACGGGTTAGTGATTCCTGTAACGTACTGTTTTACGGTCAATGACATGAATACTAATCATCAGCTGTCTCACGAACGTAACAGCACATCTATCCCCAACATAACAAACCCATAACACAGCGAGGGAGAACTAAGTTACATGAAACAATCCCAACTACATATTTTACACCACTCACAAGGGAAAAGTCACTACTCACGGAGTGTAAGGCTAGCTTCCAGCTTTCCGCTACTTCTCTTTCAAGGTAGTGATGAAACGCGTTCTGTAGCGCTGTTTGTTCGCGTTCGGCTACGGTAGGAATATGACGTCACAACATGGCGACCTTCATAGAAGGGGATTCCCTCGGTTATGGAGCTATTAATGTCTCATTCTAAGGTAATAAAAACATTACGGTTAATTAAGTAAGTTCTTTATACACCACTGAAAACATAGTTATGGATGTCATATTGCATTTCTGTTAATAGATAATCAACTTATTTACACATTGCACCTTTAAGAAACTTATTATCAATGT